GGAGCTGGACGGCATCGCTTTAAGTCATCACTTGCTCCATAAGAGGTTCCCAAAAATAGTGTACAGAGTGACCAAGCCCAGCAGCTTTACCCCACTTTCCCCAGTACCAGCAGTTCAAAGGAAATAGGACCCAGGTCGAAACTGTTCCCAGTGCCTTAATTTTCAAAGCTCACAGCCAGTGAACTTCTGCCAGCCCTGCTGGGCTCCGGACTGTGGTTCATTGCAAAGGGTCCCTCCAGCCAACGCTGCCGAGAAGGACGAAGAAAGAGCCGCCCAGGTGACGGGCCATCATAGAGCACGGGCATATCAATGCATCCTTCTCCAGTGGTCTTGCATCCTTGAAAAGCTGCCCTCCCTCCCTGCAGACAGCATGAGGACAGCCTCGGTGAAACCCTGCTTTCCCACAAGAAGCGCTTGAGCAAGCTCTGGCTGCTCCGGCCCAGATCAACCCCAATGCGCTGCACCAGAAACAGCAATGAGCCGCTCGTACCATCTTCAGCTGCCGCCCCGGTTATTTCAAACCAAGCTGAGCCACGCTGCAAGCTGGGAGGGACGAAGAACCCCCTCCCTGAAGCAAGGCAGGTGCTTGTGCAAAGCAATTAAGTGTTAACTCATAATTACCAGAATATTCCCACCCTCCGCTCCAGGCCTGGATCCCGGAAGCCGGTGCGACTGCGACACAGAAAAGTAGCATGATGATTTCCAAGCTTCAGGCCGTCACTACGTTGCTCAACACCTCATGCAAACATCCAGGCATGCTGCAAGACTGTGCAACGGTGCCTGGGAAAGTCCTTCCTGTTTTTGCATCTCTAGATTAGGGGTGTCCCTAAGGAGATCTGTGCCCCACGCAGACAGTGCTCACAGTGAGAGGAAGCCCCTGCCCCAAAACTGCTGGTAAGATGGACAAAGGGAGGGAGAGGAAACAAGCATAGAAATAATGGGTTTAGCTCTAGCAACCCCAATTTCCACAAGCAATTGCCAACCTATGATGGTTCGAGTCAAAGAGCTGATGAGCGCCTGCATTTCGAGCCAGCTTCATCCCGTTTGAGCACCAAACCGAGGACGTAGACCGCCAATGGCTTATTTTTGCATTTAAATCTTTGTGCCCTCAACACCCACCTGCCAAGGGACACTGCAATGATGGGGGGTGGTACTGAATGCAGAAAGGCCTTAAGAAACCCGGGCACTGGAAAACATCAGGACCAGCTTGGCATCATTTCCAGAGGGCTTTCCACGCACATCTCCATGATCCAGGGGAGAGGAAGGACTGCCATGAGACCTCAGCAAAGCCCCAGGCATCAGCGCCCTCAATGAAGTGAGTGGGAGAGGGCAGCAGAAGAGGAGAATAAAAGGTTTTATGTAAGAAGGTGGCTAGAAAAGCCGGTGCAAATGCCCAGATGCAGTGGATAGGGATCTGTGGAGCTACCGTAATGCGGGCAAGGGACCGCGGTGCGGTCACAGCATTAGCTCGGGATCTGGGTTCGACTCCCAGCTGTCTCGCAGCCTGCCTGGGTTGCACCTAGAGCCTCTCATCTCATCTTCCCTTGCTCCCCTTCATCACGCATACCTTGTTATTCCTCCTTGCTGCACTTACTCATCGTCTGGAAGGATCCCAAAGGGATCTGCAGGCAGGGAGGTCTCCAGTGCCCTACTGCTGAGCTGCGGCCACCTCTGGGGTGGAACGCCATGTCTGTTTCTCAGCACCCAGTAACACGGCCCGGCACTTTATCTCCAGCTGCGCAACGAGCCATTCGGGTACAATCACTCCCAGTGGCTGAGTCACGAGGGTCCCATCTCATTACAGCGCCTGAAACCTAGTGACCTTGGGGGTCTACTTCCTCACAGCATCTCTCCAAGGCCGTACCTCGAACAGCCCCGTGTCCCTGCCATCAAGCCAGGGCGCTGGCTGAACAGACGATGCCACTGACTGAATCATAAGCCCAACTCCTGGAGGCACCTGGGGTTACCAGGCCCCTCTCATCCAAGCACTGAGCACATCTGGGCTTATGCTGACCATGCTAGAGGCACAAGGCTGCAATAACCGGTGCTGTCCATCGCCGCCCCATCCTGCTTGGACATCAAACTGCTCCAAAACAGGCAGCGGGGATGAATGCAAGGAAAACACACCCAAAAGCAGGCTCACAAGACCTCAGAGACCTAAAGTACAGGCTGCAACCCTGACTAGCATGTTTAAAGCCCTGTTATCATGTCTAAAAATCGGTGCCTCTGTGTGCTACGTGATGGGCTACGGAGCTCAAAGCAAACGGACCACTGATTCAAGCTGGTTTCATGCAAAATGGGACCAACAGCTCCCCTGAAACAACAGGCTGGTGACCTCAGTGAGGTGGGCTGCATCCTGCCTGAGTCTGGATGGTCTCCAGGTAAGTTTAGACACATGCACAGCGCAAGCAGGGTCTGCTTTGAAGACTGTCCCCTCTTCGCTTCCCCCAAGGAGAGTCCATCCCTGCTGACATGCAGCGAGGGGGTAACTGGGGGGTCTGCCCACCTCTTCCCGGGCTCCATCCCCAGCATCACACGTGCCAGGGTGATCAGTTCGTCCCAAAGCCTTGCACACAAATAAGACCAGGGTAGCGTCACACAGGTAGGGCAGGTGGTGAGCATCTACCTGGGCTAGGACAGCCAGCACGAGCCAGGGGAGAGGGGCAGGAAATACTGGCAGACAGCAGAGAGTCTGTTCGCATATTTTTTTCATCTTACTTCACACACCGGGATAAGCTTCTCGGCACCCAGGGCTGTCACAAGTCACAAGAGAAATAAGGCTGTTGCCACCTGCCCCATCACTGGCCTCGCATCTGCCCGGGTGATGACCCCGAGCATTTACACGGGGGCGGCACATGCTGCAACCCGTTCATCTTCCCCTCTCCCTGGTCCGCAGCATGCCTATTCAACATAACAGCCAAATTCACCCTGGCTGGGGAGAAGCGTGACCCCTGCGGCCCGATTTGGGTCATGAGGATGCCGAGGTCGGGAGTTACTGGGGGTCTACATCAGCGACAGCCTGCCCTGCTGTAGGGCTCAGGACTGGGCCTTCGGGGTGGAGCTCAGCTTCCTACCCCACCTGATCAGCACAAGTAAGGCTGTTCCTGTGCAAACCCTAGGGTTAGGGTTAGGGTTAGGGTTAGGGTTAGGGTTGGGGGGGCTGAAACCACGCAGGGCACACAGCTCAAGGACTC